GGAATGGATTTCCCTGAAAGATAGTTAGTTCTTTATCAGCATGGACCAAGGGTCAAAAAACTTAGATGACCATTGGCCTGGGATAACATAGTGTGACTATCTTTATCACTCATTCACTTGCCTATTCACTCACCTCTTCACCTACTATATCCCAGGCACTTTGCTAAGGACACAAGTTCCAATGAGACAAGCTCCTACCTTTGAGTTCACAAATAAGCACATTCCACTGGTCCTTTCAGTCTGAATCTTTACAGACTAGGAGAAGTTTTCCAGGTGATGAGAGGGTGAAAAATTATGTTCTAGATAAGGAAAACAGCCTTTGCAAGGATAGAAATTCCTGAATCAGAGAAATATAAAAGTTGAACATGGTGGAGGTGAGGGATAGGGCATATGAATAATGTGGTCATATCACCTTAAAGGTATACATTGGTGGCTGCAGAGGATTACAAAATCTCTCCCCATTTCTGAAATTCTCTCATTATTATATTACTAGAGTCCCAATGCACGAAGATTCGTGCAAGAATGGGCCTTACTTCCCCTGGCTGCCAGCACTGCTTTCGCTCCAGCTGGCCAGAGCTGCCTTTCTGCCTTCGCTCCGGCCCGGAACTGTCTTTCTGCCTTCGTTCCGGCCCAGAGCCATTTTTCTGCCTTCCCACGCTGCCCAGAGGCCTGAAGCGGCTGGGGTGGTGCGGAACGCCTGTGTTGTTGTCCTGCCCTGCCCCCAGCCGCTCAGCACTTGTGTATGCAAATTAACCCGCCATCTTTGTTGGGTTAATTTGCATACGCACTCCTGATTGGCTGGTGGGTATTGCGAAGGTATGGTCAATTTGCATCTTTCTCTTTTATTAGTGTAGATTCTTTCTATAATACTAATAAATATATTTCTAAAGAACATACAGTAATTTATTCAGGGAACCTGGAGCCCCAGGCCAAGGGCCCTACTGGCTGAAGTAACAGACATAACGCTCACCTAAAAAAAAAAAAAAAAAAAAAGTTGACTCTGGATATGGTACACCATTCTCCTTCACACCAGCATCTGAAAAAAACCTATATCTACTTGAATTAACTAGAAGTCCTAACCTTCCTATTCATTACTAACTTGGTATGAAAAGGATGTCATAACAAATAGAATTTAATGTTTTCTATGATCCAATGACAGTTGTATACATAAGAAGATGGTAATAGGTGGAATTTTTCTAGCCTCTCAAAGCCTTTGTTTCAACCCTACATGTTCTAATCATTATAAGCTGGGCCATAATGTCTAAACCAGGTTGCTTGAGCCCATGGCTGAGCTGACCAGCATGCCACACCCAATTGTGGGCTGTCGGTCTCAGGGAGCTTGAAAGGCAAACTTCAGAATTAGAATCTTGAAGGCGTAGACCCTCAGAACTAGACAGGATATTGAAGGAAGAACAATAAGAAATGGTAGTAAGAGTTCAAGAGTTTTAGTTAGACTATTTTAAATTCTTAACTTCTTCCAACTATTTAACCTTGAATAAAGTTAGTGACTCTCACTGAGCTCAGTTTTCTTATTTATAAAATCAGAAAAGTAATCCCAGGCTTCTGAAGATTAAATAAGATAATGAATAAATATCCCTCTAGATATCAGCATGCCTGATCATCAGTGAATATTAACAATGACTATCATTATTAATCTCAACAGTATTTAATGGCATCCATTCTCCCAGTTTCTGCTTCAAGAAGAGAAAATTCAAATTGAAGTAGAAAAACAGAAATAATAAATATATGAGTCTGTGTCACCCTTGGTATTTTGAAATGTCATGTCCGTGATGTAAACTGCTTTCAAATGCCTCTGAAAATGTTATTTGAGCAAAGATTACTGATAAAAACTCAAGCCACAGGGAGAGACATAAGAAAGAAAGTGACCTTGAAAAGTTTGAAGGACTGAAAGAGAACATGTGTGTTAAACCCTGGAGGAAAATCAACAGGGCCCCGGGCGATGTATGGTTCAGGATGATGGCAGCATCAAAAGCTCTACAAATGTGGGGGTCCATGTAGAAACAGGCCTAAGATGAACAAGATTTCTACTGGACCAGTGGAAAATAAACACACCCCATCATAGGGAACATCTGCTACAGTGGAAAGAATCCTGGACTGAGCAAGAGAAGCCCTGGCTGCACTACTCTGATATGACTTAAGGCAAGTCCCTTCCCCTAATGGGGATCATCTCTAATGTGTAAGTGCTGGGTGAACAAGTTTCTAAGTCTCTCTCAGTACTGCAATTGGGTGTTCCGAAGGAAAAAAACATATGAACTAACCTGTACACTATATTCCATATTGGTTAATTTCCATTAGATTTTATTTCATCACTGATCATCACAGCTCTTTGAAGAAATACAGTAATATTAGATACTATTTGCTGAATGCCTTTTTGTGCTAGGTTCTGTGTTAAGGGCTTTACAGATATTATCTCATTTATTTCATGCAATATGTAGATATTGTACCCATTTTACAGGTGAGGAAGCTGAGGTTTGGAGAAGTTAAGTGACTTTCCCAAGTTACTTAGATATAACTGGTGAACTCAGGATTCAAACCCAGTTCTCCCTGACTCTAAATCTTTTGTTTCTTCTCACTATTTCATGCTCCCTCAGTTCAGTGAGAAAATTTTAGGGCATAATTAGAATAGTGAAAGATGTAGAAATTTGATGCTACAAAAGAAAGGTCCAAGAAAGGATGGTTATTCACCTGGTTCTCACATCAAGCACCAAAATATATTCAATAGATGAAAGAGTATATGGCTAAAAAAACCCTGTGCTTGTACTAAAAGAAAACATGGGTATTTAGTAAATATATCACAGAGGGGGAAGATATAACACAAAACTTAAAAGCTAAAAAGGAAAAAAAGTGCTAAATGTGGCTAAATATTTTAAACTTCTATATGACAAGAAATAACATATAAGTGAGAAGCTAAAATAGTTAAATGCAATAACACAAAATACAAATACCAAACTAGTAAGAATATTTATAATAGTTATATGAGATAGAGAACTAATATTTTTAATATACAGATAAAATTTTAAAAGAGCAAACTCTCCAAATAAAAAAAATAAGTAAATTAGCCCAGCCAATGTGACTATGGTTGAGCATCAACCTATGAATCAGGAGGTCAATGATGAGAGGAATTGTTGGACAAGAGATTATGTGGTCCTTGACTTGTGCATTCAGTTTCTGTTAGACAAAAGCCTGGATGAAATTACTTTTCCTATCTCTTCCAGCTAAGTCGTACTTCTGACCCATCAATGCCTGGACAATCTCTGAAATGACGATCAGCTACCAAGGAGTTAATCTGAAATTTTATAGTTCAAAGGGACTGTTAGAATCAAAGAACTCTTTGATTCTAAGAGAGTCAGGAGAGAATTGAGGCTCAGATTGGCCATAGAGCTATTGAGTGGCACGGGCAGGCCACCCCTAGCTCAGCCGGCTTCCCAATTTACTGTGTAATCAATGCTTTCATTAAGGAGTTACCAGAATAGAAAGCCAGGGAAGAGACCATGAAAGTTTTCAAAGTGAATAAGGAGTGCCCAGCTGGCATGCCTCAGTGTTTGAGCATCGACCTATGAACCAGGAGGTCATGGTTCGATTCCCGGTCAGGGCACATGCCCAGGTTGTGGGCTCCATCCCTAGTGCGGAGCTTGCAGGAGGCAGCCAATCAATCATTCTCTCTCATCATTGATGTTTCTATCTCTCACTCCCTCTCCCTTCCTCTCTTTAATCAATACAAATATTTTTTTTAATAAATAAAAGTGAATTAAGGAGACTTTAACAAGGTTACTATGAGATGTCCAGGATGTGGAATTGAGAATGACAGATGTTCCAGGCCTGCTAAGGAAACAGAGTAGCAACCCCCCACCCATCCAGTGTCATTGTCAAAGAGGATTCAGGTGAGGCCAAATAGGATTCTATATTTTATGGGTAGATAAACTGATCAGTTCTTTTATTCTTTTTCATGGGGGATGGCCATCTTCCCTGTAAATAAAAGGAAGCAGAATTCTGGTATCACCTGCAAAAACCAGCCTCTGTGTAGGTTAGAGAACTGGACTTACTATGTACTAGGTTAAAGAACTGGACTTACTGTGTGTTCTGTTGAAGCAGAAAGGCTACCTCAGACTTGTCTTATTCACTTTTGTTCCCCACCCACAGTCCCTCTCCTGGGGCAGACAGAGGGCCCTGTCATTGACAAGCACTCAGTAATTACATTGTGTTGATTTAGACCGAATTGATTGGAGAAAGATTTTAGCTTTTGCTTCTCATTAAATTTGACTTCAGAATGAATTTTTCCTCTAGGCAGTTCTGTGCTCGTTTGGAGATGCTCTGTTTCTCTTCTGGCACGGGCCCCAAAATGGGAGTTAGCAACAGCAACATAAACTGCAGGCATTCTCTATTTCATTTTGTCAGAAGCCACACTGGAATTGTACATGAGAAATGGGGCGGGTGGTCAAATTTATTTTGGAACACAGCTCAGGCCTATCTAACTGAGCTCAGGATGACAGGATCAGGCTTATGACCAAAGAGGGAGTTTTGGCGGGCAGCCAGTCTGGTGACATTGTGTACAGTGTCCCTAGAACCCTATCGGAATATGTTAATCTGTCAGTGCATGCTTGTCTATGCACATTACATGTGTCTCTCTTTATTACCCTGTTTTCCCTCTAATTTTGAAGGCTTCTATCCACCCCAGAAATCTAGGAAGCTCACAGAGGCATATGAAATACACACACTGAGAGCCTAGTCGCTGTGGGCATACAAAAGTGTTTCAACCTGGTCAGGCCATAGCACAAACACCACAAGATGAAATTTCCTGTGTCTGCTGCCTAAAATTTCTCAGGAGCATAACACACAAATGCCTCGGTAGGACATGAGGGGTTTTGAGGCAGGTGACATAATCTTAAACAGACTCTCCGTTTTGGGAAACTTTTTCCTTCTGTCGATCAGAATAATGTGCCTTATGAAACACCAACATTCTCTGGCTTCCTGTCTTTCAGGTGAATGGCATTGACCTCCGGGGAGCATCCCACGAACAGGCTGCTGCTGCACTGAAGGGGGCTGGACAGACAGTGACGATCATAGCACAATACCAACCTGAAGGTCAGTGAGCACCCAGACGTCTAACGTTCTGATATGTGAGCGCGTGAATGTGGACCCGCGTTTCTGATCGCCCGTGTTAACTAGTCACTGCCAACAGGGAAAATCGGTGCTTTAGATGCCTAGGACATGAGGCTGTGTTACCCTTCATCTTCCAAGGAAAACTTCAGCCAGTTAGAAAGGTCTGTTTGAAATACAAATTCAAATAAATAACAACCAGCATCAGCTTTATTTCATTTATATTCTTACCTGATACATACTTTTTGGTCAGCAATAAACACTATAAAAACAACTGAAATTTAGGAAACAAGGGGGAAGAGATTTCATCTACAGAAACAGACCATGATCAGTAGATCATATTCTCTCCTTGTAGCATTAATTCTTTGACACTAACATGGTTTGGGCTGCCCTTGATGTGGATTTATTTTTTATTTTCATTTTTACTTTTGCCTTTTCTGCTACACTATCACGTGTTTGGAATGCATCACTATCAACCCTGAGATGTGGTGAGATGTCATAAATCCTATTAGCCTCCTGAGCCCTGATGAGATATCCTAAATTGGATTAGCTGTACCCTGCTCTTTGGTTTGTTTCAGCATCTGTTTCTGTGATCAGAATGAGGAACAATGAGACAACTGGGATGTTTTCTACTGAAGTTGATTTCTTAGCAGACTTGTGGGTAGAATGTTCCTTTGTTCATGAAACATAGTTAAGCGCACCATTGTGGGCTAGACTCTGTACAACATATCAGAGGCATCGGCTTCTGTCTTCAAGAAATATGGTTAATTGCTTTTGCTCTACATGGCTAGCAAACAGGAGTATTAAATGGCCAAACATGAACACACAAGATGCCATCAAGGAAGAGCCTTTGTGCCTATGGGTAAATGGAGCTTCTTTGGCCTCTCAAGTGATTCTTTCTTAAAGTCAGTTGGTCTATTGTTGTTTGGAACACTGATGTTTCTGTCTTGCCTGTGGCATCTTAGATTTTACCATTCATGGTGGCCAACCACTGTTTACCTGAGAATAGAGTAAACATTCTGCCCAGTGTGTTTTGAGACATTGCTTTCACTTTGCCTGGCTTTAGAATTAGACTGTGCAATTGTTATACAAAAATATATATAATTAAATGCATTCTCATATTGCCCTAGCCCAGATGCAGCTAGAGAGGCTGGGGAAGAAGGGATAGATCAGTGAAATAAAGATAAAATTTATATATATATAATCTTCTTCTGGGGGAAAAATACTAATGATGATAACAGCAAGGGAACATGTTCTTCCTAGACAGTTTTGGGAAGCCTTTCTAATTCTTAAAAAGGAATGTCTTCTAATAGGAATAAATGATTCCAAAAGTATCCATTGTAAAACAGAAAATGAAGAAATCTGGGTTAGCACAATCCGATGAACAAATTCTGCTTCATAGAACACAAAAACTTTTCCATGGGATTCTTTCTTGATAGCTGTGTTCTTTCTGTCTCATAACCTGGCACCTGGCCTAAATAACCCTGGGCTGTTTTCCCATTTTGGAAGAATTTCATCTCAAACAATTCTGTAGACTGATAAGATGGTCAGAACTATAGTTGCACCAATTAGAAGCTCTTGATAGTGAAGAGAGCCATTCAAATAACCTTGAACAGAATGATTTCAAGCCTTAAAGGCTACAATAAAGGACAACCAGCTTGTCCTAGTTCTATCAGCATAAATCATCTTTAGCTTCAACTTAGGTTCCTTTAAGCAATATTCTTAACTTAGATACTGTGTTGTACTTTATCAAGATGCCTGTTCAAAGCATGTCTTATCACATAAATCAATTTTTAAAGCGCTTCTAATGAACCCTGAAAATAACAAACAAGAAGCTTATTTTAAAATGACAAAGTACAGGTCAGATTCACGGAATGCCTTCCCCATTTTAACATTTTAACTGTATTGTCATTTGTTGCAGCTTTAAATTGGTTGGAAATGTAGTTATGCAACATCAAGCAAGTATTTTTCTTTCTTTCTTTCTTTTTTTTTTTTTTTTACAAATTTAAATGTTCAACTAAGCCTATTCTACCTATTATTTGAAATGGAAGACCGATTGCATTGTTGCCGAGGTCCTTTAGGGACATTTAAATTATACAACAGCTTTAGGAAATAATGAACAATTTTCTTTTAAAATAACAAGTGGAAAGAAGAGTACGTCATGAGATTCCATTAAGAAATTCTCACCACGTCCCCTTCATTTGCACCAGTATTGTGAGGTGTCCATGCTAAGACGCATTTTATTGACATCTCTTTTCGTATGGTCAAGAACCACCCTTCCAGTATGTATGTTTTTCAGTTACATTCAAATGCTTTTACTAGGAATATTCTAGCTGCCTTGCTCAGTATTACCAAATATACAGAAAATGTGGCCCTTGACCCCATCCCAAGTCTTTGTCATTAAGAATTTTTTATCTTGCCCTAACCGGTTTGGTTCAGTGGATAGAGCATTGGCCTTCGGACTGAAGGGTCCCAGGTTCGATTCCAATCAAGGGCATGTACCTTGGTTGTGGGCACATCCCCAGTAGGGGGTGTGCAGGAGAAAGCTGATTGATGTTCCTCTCTCATCGATGTTTCTAACTCTCTATCCCTCTCCCTTCCTCTCTGTAAAAATCAATAAAATATATTTTTTAAAGATTTTTTTTATCTTATTGAGGAGAAAGAACTTAGGCACATTTAATAGAGATCGGTTCCTGATGACATAGGACCAAAATTGTATGATAACGGTACCACTTGTACAAATCATGAAACATCAGAGAATGGATAAACCTGCAGGAGTTAGAACAGTACAAATAGTACCTAATGGAAATAAAGGAATAGATCCAAACCTTGAAGAATGGATGGGATTTCTGTCCAGGAGAGGAGGGAGAAAGAATATCTTGCTAAACTCCACCAGACTGTGAAATCCATTCGTGCAGAGAGAAAACCTATATTTTGTTCACTGATAAATCGGCCTTCAGTATTGTGCTATAATTGGTATTTCTTAAAGAGTTGCTGAACTAATGAATAAAAGTTTACCATTTTTCAGTATTTGAATTTCCACTTGAAGGTAATTAAAGATTGAAGAGATTCATTTTTACTACTTGCATTTTTAATTTTTGCTTCAAAGCAGAAAATAAGTGCCAAACAAGTGGGCGTCGCAAGATATAAAACCACTTTCAATTGTGTTTTTCATAGTACTTGGCATATTTTTTGAAATAATTATAAATAATTTATAAATATCATAAGGTAGCAATAAATGTTTTTCTTGGCAAGTTTCACTCACCCATATCCACTAACATCATCCTTTTTAAATATATATGTTTTTTATTGATTTTAGAGAGAGAGGAAGGCAGAAGGAGAGAGAAAGAGAAACATTGATCAGCTGCCTCCTGCAAGCCCCCTGTTGGGGATGGAGCCCACAACCCAGGCATTTGTCCTGATGGGGAATTGAACTGATGACCTCTCAGTGCATGGGATGACACTCGATCAACTCAGCCACACCAGCTTGCTGGGGTGTTATCCTGTATCTACTAGGGTTCAGGAATCTGAAGAAGGGGCTGCGAGTAAATTAACTAAGAGACTAGACATGAAATATAAATTTGGAAGGCATTTTTCGGGGGAGCCAGGGAAGGCATAGCTTTAGTAGCTAAGTTCCCTAAATCTCTGGATCCCTAGCTTTTTATTAACACATTTTGCCCTATAGCAAAGCAGATATACATATCAAAGGTAAGGTTTGGTAAACAGTCAAAAGATGATCATGTTGGGGCAGTGGTCGGCAAACTGCCAACTTCTGCGCATGGGCCATGAAGTTTCAATCGCACTGTATGTGCGTGCCTGCACGTGGTATTTTGTGGAAGAGCCACACTCAAGGGGCCAAAGAGCCGCATGTGGCTCTCGAGCCGCAGTTTGCTGACCACTGGGTTGGGGAAACTGCCCTCAGCTGTCTGGCAGCAGGCAATAATATATGCAGATCTTCAGCCCTGCTGAAAGAGTCCATTCAACCTTTTGAGGACTTCTGCATTTATTATGAACCTGCTGGAATTAACCTCCAGCACCAGCCAGGGCTAATATCATCTTTTTCCTCATCCTCTACTACTGCTGCATAAGACTGCTCCCTGTTCCTACACTTGATTCTGAATTGTCATGTTTCTGGGCCTTTGCTCATGTGGGTTCCTCTACCTGGAATTCCCTTTTCTCCTTTTCCACCAGTAGGACTCCTAGTCATTTTGAGGACCCTCAGATGTCAGTTCCACTAAGAAACTCTTTATTCTGCTAAAACAACATCAATTGCTTATTCCTATGAGCTCCCTAGATCTGTATTCAGGTACCCGGGTTACCCCTTATCATGATTTGCACATTTCTCTACTCAAGTTAGCTTCTAGAGGGCAAGGACCCCTCTATCTCTCATTTTATCTCCCATGTTAATTTGCTCAATATGAACTTGACTGTTCTTAATTTAAGAGTTATCAAATGGTTCTTCCTTTGTTTTAGAAGTGTAATATATATCTTTAGTGTGTTGGCCAATATTAATAATAGGTACTTAAGAAATAATTGATTTAAAAAAAAGAAGTAATTGATGAGTAAATATTGAATGAACAGCCTAGAGTTTTGATATTAGATACAGAAATGTTAAGAATCCAAGGAATGGACAGTTGGTGTTGATGCAATTTGTAGATGGTGCCTCTTTAGTTTTTGTTACAAAATTGCAGAAAATTTACAGCTGTTGCTCTATAACATAGCACAAAGAATAGATGATTAAGGCTCTAACATTTTTTAAAGTTCTAAACTCTACTTTTAACAGCATTAATAAATAAAAAAGGTAATGATTACAACCTAATTGTACACTTGACACAGCCTCTGTGTCAGAATGGGGCAAATCTTTATATCACGTGTTACCTTCTCACTAGTATAATAATACCTATACTTAGTGTGAGACTACTGACTGGAGTTGAAATCATAAACCACCAGATATTCACTAAGAGCCAAGTGAATGATATAAATTG